CCCAACCTTAACTATGAATTTTTAACAAGAAAGCAAATTGTTTTTAAAAAGACACAAAAAAAGAAAAAAATAAAATAAAAACAAGGGAACAAAATAAGATGAAATATAAAAGGGACAGTTTTTTTAGAATATTGATTTACAGGTGCCAACATCCTGCTAAATTCCATGAAGCCAGGCATGGTGGTGCTTGCCTGTAAGTCCCATGTAGGAGGCTGAAGCAGGAGAATGCTGCAGTTCAAGGCCATCCTGGGCTGCACATTGAGTTGAAGGCCACTGTGAACTCCATAAACAAAACAGAACAAAGCAAAATAAAACAGAACAACCCTCCCCTCCCCCCGCCCCCCACACACAAGAAAAAGTTCCAGGAAAAAAAAGATACAACAAACAAAACAGAAATAGTAGGAAGGAAATTACCAAAGAAATAACGTAAGAAAATATCCCAAAACTAAACAGTCATTTCCAAGCTGAGTCGGTCTAATGCTCAAAATAATAGGTTTTTTGTTTTTGTTTTTGTTTCTTAAGGTTTCATATCAAGGTTCATACTACATGGCAAAACTTTGGAAGACTAGAGATAGAAAAATCCTAAAAGTTTCGAAACTTAAAAAATGCAACATAGTAAGGAATTAGAATATAATACGATCTCGCAAGAGCAACATTAAAGCATAGTTGGGAGGCCTGCCCATTAGCGCAGTTGTTTCAGGGCCTGCTTAAACAAAACAGTCAGGCTCAAGATGCTCTGGTTCGAACCCAATCTCTCCCAGGAAACCAGAGATGCCCTCAAGGCATCTTCACACCACCAAAAAAAAAAAAGATGGGGGGCCGGGGGGATGGTTCAGTGGAATAAGTGCTTCCCTGGCAAGCACAAGGGCCTGAGTTCAATCCTGAGTTCAATCCCCAGTTCTGCAAAAAAAAAAAAAAAGTTTAAAGCATAGTTGACCATGGACTAATCTGATGCTACTTTTTCCTCAGACTCTGTGCAAGTTTTCCCCTCCACATTTCTTCCTCTTCTTCCAAGGAGTTGGGTTTCTCCAAAGCCGTTAACAGGTACTCTTTGACTAGGAAGAAAACCAGCCTGACAGAGAAGTAAACGAGACTGACATCGCAGAAGACAAACTGAAGACAGGGAAGCAAGCCAGGGTGTCGTGAGAGCCGAGTGAGTCCACCTATCCTTGTCCTCCCCCACATTCCATTGCCCGTGCCAGGCAGCTGCTCCGTGGCCATGTATGGCCTGGCCTTAAAAATCACTTGGACACTTTACTCTCTCTTAAGCAGTCATGAGCTTGTCCAGAGGCAAGGAGAAGAGATGAAGACCAGCTCCTCCCTTTGAGGAATAAAGCTACTGAGCAGCCCAACGTGAGGCCCAACTGCAGGCCTACCCGACCTAGGAGATGCGCTTATTATACCTCAGTCATTCCTAACCTGTGGGCAGAACTCAGTTACTTCAAAGGACTCAGGAAACTATGCATGTATAAAGCTTTTTCTACAGCTTGAAGACAGTGCCTGGTACATAGCAGTGAGCGTACAATTACCATTAAAATATATGTTCTGTCCTTGTGATTCATAAGACACAAATTCACAGGAAATTTGGGCCATAAAGTAATACTTTGTGTTTTCTTTTTTTTTGTTTTGTTTTGTGTTTTCTTGACCGTGGATACAAAAAATACAGCTAACACATAGCACCGATATTTTGTGTGTTAATAGTGCTAAATGAAATAAATCAGCTACAGGTTCAATAGTGTATGGCTTCTCCTCACATGAGAAACCCAAAATATAAATAATTTGAAGAGCAAATAAAAGGGAGATACTAGGGAACAAGGAGGTTGACATCATGCAGATGAGATCTAGGGATGGAGGAGGGAAGGAAGAGAAGAAATAAGACCAAGATATGAATCATGTATGTATACACACTAACTTGAATGTATGCATCGTATACTGCAAACATATACTGATGAAAAGGGGACCATATTCTCCAGATTAAGTGACTGTCTTCATACTTCACACTATACCATATTTCATGCTGCCATAAATCAGTCTCTGGGGAAAGCCTCGAGTGAGTGCAGTCACACAGCCTGCCACGCTGGCAGCCCTGTGTCCGGGGCTCTAGACATTCTGTGCCACACGCCCTATCTCTCAACTGCATCCACAGCCGTAACAGATTGGACCAGAGGTGGTGGCTGACTGTCAAACCCTTGGCTGACCCATGACTTTGAAGGTGACCTGGCACAAAAACTTGTCAATTAGGAACAAGCTGAGCAATTCATGCTTCCCCTGGGCTACAGAGAAGCCAGGTCCCGATAGAAGAAGGAGCTGGCCACTGACTTTGTCAGTCCTTAGAACCCTCGATGAAAGAAATCAACCAAAACACAAAAGCAGCCATGGAGAAAGACAGATAGAATTTACTCTGAAAATGACACAGGGAGTGCCAGGAAGGATCTGTGTCAAGTGGGAGTTGAGATATATTTTATACATTTTAACATGGATTAAGTGGAAAGCTTTCTATGGAAGCAGTGGAGTGGTGCTAACTTGGAAGCCCCAGTGTAATAGGGGAGGTTCTTCCCCCAGCAGACCCAAAAGCTATAGCAGGAGTTCCCACGATGACAGCTTCTCTTGGATTCACTGAGGTCTGACATCCTCTGAATTCCCCTGCATACACATTGATAGGTAACCCTCTTACCTAGCTAGGTGGGTTTCCACTCCTTCCAGGTGAAAGTGTATAAATGAAGTCACTAAAAGGAGAGCTACAGAAGGAATAAAAACTTAGAGAAAGTTTTGGTTCAGGGGACTAAAGATAAACAAATGCTGCAGGAGCAAAGTTTTCATATGCAGTCAGGGGTGGTTTCTGATTTTTCCTCATAAAAGGCTTCTTAAAGGGGCTGATTTTCTTTGAAGAGTTATTTATAACTCTTTTTAAAGGAAGAGGAAATCCCCAAGAATATTGGCCTATAAATAAATTATGTGCCTATAAATAAATAAATGCATGTACATGCATTTCCCCTAACCTCTCTAGATATGAGACTATTAATGAACGAAATCAATTCCCCAGCCACAGAGAAGCCTTCCCGGTCCTCAGCCGTCGCGTGTGTTTATAATTTTGTCTCTCAGTTCGTAGGCCTTTCCCATCATATTATCTGGAACCAGAGGAAGTATCTCAGGGAAATATGGGATGCTGATATCCAATTAAGACAAATATCTCAAATCATTGTTTTTGTAACTTATTTGTAAATTGAGACTCCAGGATCCGAAATGGCACTTGGGTTTTCGGTAGTAAGGACTGAAAGGAATGTGAATATACAAAAGTGGTAGCTTAATCAATCCTCTATGACCGGTTCATTATCAAGATAAGGTATAATTAAAAGTGGTTGTATGATGACTATACAAAACTTTGAAAATTAAAGTTACCATTTTCTTACAGTTACTTATCACATTATTTTTGTAGTTTTTTTTAATAGTTATTTGTCACTCACCATTATTAAGACATACACTTAGTATTGTTTCTTTTCTCCTTTTTTATGTATTTAGGAGAGTCTACAGGATCTCACTCCACAGAACGGGCTCGTAGTGATTCTCCTCTTTTCAGCCTCCCAAGTGCTGGGATTACAGGTGCTCGCGCCACCACACCCAGTCTCAATCGAAGTCTCAGCATGCCCCGGGCACAGGGCCGGCACCGCACGCTAGGGATCAAACCCTGGCCGCTGTGTAGTATTGTTTTTTTTTATCCTAAAGGATCTAAAGTTTTCCTCCTTTCTTCCTTCCTTGACTCAACTTACTTTCTCCACTTTCATACAAGGCAAAAACTCTACCTCTAACAGCCTTACCTATTATTTTACTACGCTGAGGCCCCAACCAATTTCACTTCCATGAAAATCCCTACATCACACAGGAATAAATCATCATTTTTGCACCTGTGTTCCTTTTATCATTTGCCTAAAACTTCACCTTGAATAGCCAGTGTTCTAGTTGGCCCATCTGCTAACAACTCATTGTTTTCTGTAAAAAAAGGCCACAAATGGTGGCTTTTGACCATTTCATTTCTTTTTTATTTCCTGCCACACAATTCCGTGGACTGATCTCCAAAAAGTCTTTTGCTTTAACAGTGAAGTTGTTTCCATGAATCCAGCATCCTTTACGTTTTGAGGACTAGAAACAAATTTTGATTATTTTGCTTTGCTATACTATTTCCTAATGTCCAGCGTGGTGACTTGAACTAAATTAATGTTATACAGCATTTTGTCACATAAGTCTAAGAATGTTTGTGTGCAACTGTTCACAAGTTCTAATTACTACCTGGTTGTAGCCAATGGTACTCATTATTAAGATGATTAACTAGGATGTAGTTTATGGCCCAAAATTATTATTTTCACTGTGAATCTGGCTCAAAATAAATAAAATCTGTGATTTCTGAATTGCAAGGCCATAATCCAAAAAGACAGAACTGTCCATATATGAAATTACTGCAAAAGAACTGATCATCTTGAATCTAAAAACAAAAAAATCCACACAGAAGTTCGTGAAAGCCAGGCGTGATAGTGCAATCCTGCAATCCCAGCACTCAGGAAAGCTGCGGCAAGATGAATGTAAGTTCAAGCCCAGCCTAAAATATTTAGGAAGACCCCACCGAAAAGATCGAACATCACATGGACTAGGACTATAGCTCGGTACAAAGGCCTTGTGTTCAATACATATACACGCACACATGCACACAGACACACATGCACATGCGCGCGCACACACACACATACACACATACACATACTCCTCAAACAATCCCCCCAAAAAACCTACTGTACAAGGATGCCAGTGATTGTTTTAAGGGGCTAGTCTTCACACTCAGGTAACTTACTACAGTCACCTAATATTGACACAAAAACTCAATTTTGAGAGCCGCACAATTACCTAAATGATAAGTAAGATGAGATGATCTTAAGACAGTTGTGTTTTTATTACATAACATTTGAATATTTCTCATGGAACTTGGTCATCATTTGCTTTTCCCTTTTGACAGAAGGTCAAATATCTATAGAAATTTCTAGGAATTATTTATGAAAAAAATATTCCCCTAACCTCTCCAAAAAGGCATCATTGCCTACATATCCCAACTAGGTTCCTGAGGAAAACAATAGGTTTTGTTTATTTTACAGTGCCATACATACAATTCCTATTGAGATATAAAAAAAGGAAGACTTCTAAACCATGAGTCCCCTTCTGTTTACAAAGTTTTATAAAAATACATTAAATCATGTTTGTTCTTTGACTCAACATTCCAGTTTATCAGAAAAGCAAAACAGCAGTACACAAAGCTGTGCAAACCCCCATTAATCTTGCAGCAATATAATATCAACATCGTCGTGGACACCTTGCAAAAGTAGCTCTCCTGGGTATGTGACAATCTTCCTTCGTTTTGCCGCTTTGAGCGTTCCTACCAATGCTTCAAAGAGGTTGGCACACTTGTCATCTCGAAAAAGGACCCCAAACTTCACGCTGAACTTCCCATCAGCATCTAGTTTGAGAAAACACCATGTTAGCAAGCACAGAATCTGCTGCTTCACTCCATGTACAGTATACTTGCAAAAGTATATTTAATAAATACCCACCTATCAGCTAATAAATATGAAAATTTAACACTTTGCCAAAAATTCAAGGTAGCCTCTTCTTATATCCAAGTGATGAAATAAATATAATGTGTTTTAGGCTTCCTAACATTAGCATTATCTAGACAAAGACGAAAAGGAACAAAGAAACACTTAGAAAAGGTGGATACGCTATGATGCTATTCTGTACATAAATTTCTCTGTTTTGATTTTTTGTTTGTTCTTGTTTCTGTTCGGTGAAACAGGGTCCACTCTGCAGTCCAAGCTCACCTTAAACTTGCTATGTAGCCCTAGCTGAACTTATAATGTTCCTACTCCAAGCCCCCAAGTGCTGGAATTACAAGCATGCACTACCACGCTTGACTCAATTTTTTAAAAATTGTACTAAGCCAACAAAGACAACAAATGAGAAACCCAGAATCAAGAGCAGTGTTTCTTTTCAGTGTGCTCTGAAGCCCCAGAGTGGCAGTAGGAGACTTAAAAGCACATATTTCTCAAGGTCACTGAATCTAAATTATAGTAAGATCCAGGAACCTGCAATCAACAGGAATCCTAGGTCATCGTATTTGGAGGCCAGTTTTTAACACAGACATTGAAAATAGACAAAAAATTGACAAAAGGCAGTTAAACATGGGAATACCATTACTTGTTGACATAAGCTCAACTGCTGCGTCCCTGAGGCATATTCTTTAAGTTCTCTGGACTTCAGTTATTCATGCACCAAATTCAAGAGAAATTACCTTAGGGTTGTTGCAGGGAAAACAAATTTGTATATTAAAGGAAAGCTGTTTATAGAATATTCAGCATAAGAAAATTCTCAGTTTAAATTATTAAAAGCATCAAAGGCAGGAACCCAGGTCCTGTCTTGGGGCTGTCCTGCTCCCTCATCTCTCAGTCCCCACAAGCGCAGGAGATCTCACCCTCCCGGGTCTTCTGCAGTGCTCAACTCGCCTCGCCACTGGGCACTCATTCCCAGGCTAGGGCACTGATGGTTCCCCACCAAGAAAAAGTAAGCTGGTCACTCACTCCTTCCAGCCTCCCTTTCCTCAGTTTTGCCCTCTAATATATCACGCACATGTGTGCAGGATAAAAAGTGTAGAAGAAATTGTGTGAGATACACATCTGACTGAGCCTCTTTTATTTTCAATGGCTTCCTATCACCTACAAAATACTGTGGAGCGCATGACTTCACAGCAGAGATGCCGTCGTGCGTCCACTCACTGCTGTCTGGTCTTCTGCCAAGAGCAACATCCGCTCTACAATCTAGTCATGACAAACTGCTTACTCTCACCCACGGTGCCCCAGGAGACGCTGCTTTCATCATTTGGCCCATACTGAACTATCTGCCAAGCATCCCAGACCCCTTTCCCTAGTGAGATCATTTTTCTTCAAAAACTGGACTCAAATGTCACCTTCGCAGGGACATCCTCCATGATTTCATCAGTTATCATCTCTTCTTATAAAATTGAATATAAGGCAATGAGATATCTCAGCAAACTAAGCCCCTGCTTAGGCAAGTACAGGGACCAGGGTTCGATCCCCAGCACTACATGTCGTGCCAGCCCTGCCCCCAGCTGCACTGAGCCAGCCACCAATACTGGGTGTGGTGGCACAGGCCTGTAATTTCAGCACTGGGGAGGTTGAAAACAGGAGGATCATTATGAGTCCAAGCTGTGTAGTGAGACTCTGTACCAAATACATTTTAAAAAATAAATACATAAAAAAGAATACATATCAATCAAAGAGTATCTACAATAACAATAGGTTACACTTAGGGAGGACTCACTGGGTTTTAGAACTGTTTGACCCATTTTGCCATCATTAAAATTCACTTAATCCTCATTTCATAGAGAAGGCCCCATTGATTCCAAGAAGCACAATTATTTTATACTGCAATTAAAATGCCCATTGAGCAACACCACCCCATCTATTCAGATACATCCTTGTTAGAGCTAGCCATATAGCTCAGCAGACTAAAGCACCTGCTTGGGCACAGTGCAGTGCCAGGGTTTAATCCCTGGTGCGCTGTGCCAGCCCCGCTCCAGGGGCACGCTGAACCAGTGATTGAGACTGGGCACGGTGGCGCACACATATAATCCCAGCACTTAGGAGGCTGAAAACAGGACAATTACTGAGTCTGATCTACATAGCAGGACCCTATAGACCCTGTACTACATACATTAAAAAAAAAAAAAAGATATATCCTTGTTTCAGAGATTTCAGGATATAAAAATGTTCCTTTTTAAATTGACAAAGTTTTATCTATTTAGATAGGGGGGCATGATGCTTTGGAGTATGTATACACTGTCCAATTGTTAAAATGAGCTAATTAACACATAAATACCTACCATTTTGGGAGTGACAGTTCTAAAAATTACACTCAGTGACTGTCAACTGATCTGCCAGGACAGAGTATTATTACTGTTATACAAATAAGGAAATCAACAGTGTGCCCAAGAATACAGAGGAAGTATGTACAGAAGGCATGATGCAGTCCTGAAGAGTCTGACTCCAGAGTCTATGTTCTTCTTCCTAATGTTTTCAGTTTATCTTCCAGTGAACTAAAGAACTCAAGGGCTGAGATGAATTTTATCTATTTCTGTATCTCTTGTATCACAACACAAGAAATACTTGTTGGATGAAAGCATTTAAAACTCCAAATAATCATTCTCCATCTAATCTTTTCTCTCTGAATGAAAAATGGCACTTAAAAAAATTGACTTTAAAAGAAATAGGTAAGACTTCATCAATTTCCAGCTTGCGCTCAGGCATGATATGCAGATTAGTCAAAATTGCTCCAGACAGGACTTAAATAATTAAGCGTAACATGTCAAAAGGTGACATGTCTCCATACGTGATTTCCAGCTCAATAAGTCATCTTTCATCATGAACAAAAGGTATCTTGGTAAAGCTGCAAAATTGCACACAGAAACCCAAAAGACCTTGAGTCGCTAGAGTAATCCTAAGCAAAACAGCAAGGTCTCAAGTTATACTACCGAGCCACAGTAACAAAAACTGTATGGTACTGACACACAACAGACACACAAACAATGGAACAGAATAGTGCACACAGAAACAAACCCACATAAGCACATCTACCTGACTCTGGACAAAGGAGCCAAGAACATATATTGAGGAGAAGACATATATTGCCTCTAAAGCAAATTCTCCCAAGCAAACTGGATATTCATATGTAGAAAAATGAAAATAGATCTCTCTCTGTCATCATGTACAAAAATCTATCCAAAATAGATGAAGGACCTAGATGGAAGACTTCTGACAATTGCCTGTGTTTTCATCTACGTTCACCAACTATGTGTCAAGACTCTTGAGGAAAATGAACACACCCATGCCACTTGTACTCACACAGGGTTTGGCATATGTAGGTGTTAAACAAATATTGATCACTTGATTGCTACAGTCACAATCTATATGACTTTTTCTGTACATTTCATTAATGTATTTAGATTTGATGTAGAAATAATGTCACTAGAAAAGACCAAAAGAGAGGTGAAGGCTGGGAACGTGGCTTAATAGTAGAGTACTTGTTTAGTGTATTTGAGGCTTCTGGTCTGATGTCCAGCACTATCAAAAGGAAGAAGGAGAGAAGGGGAGAGGGAGAGAGGAAAGGACAAAAAGGGAGAGAGGGGGAGAAAGAGAGAGAAAAAAAAAGGAGGAAAGGGAAAGGGAGAGGGAAAAACATACTCCAAAGAGTCCTAATTTCTAGGAGCTGTGAATATGTTGCCTCCCATGGCAAAAAGAACCTTTCAGATGAGATTAATGTAAGGCCTATGAAATGGAGAGATTGTCCTGGATTATCTGGGTCAGCATAATGTAATCACCACAGGGTGCCTAAAAATGAAGCAGAGAAAAAAGAGGAGGTCAAAGTCATTTACTATGAAGACTCTACCTGTTGTTCCTGGCTTTGATGATTTAAAAGGGGCCATAAGCCAAGGAATGCAGGCTGTCTCGAGCTAAAAAAAAGTAAGGAACTGTATTCTCCCCTTGAACCTCCAGAAAGAGGTATGGCCTGCTAAGGCCTGGTTCTTAGTCCAGGAAGACTCTCCTAGACTCCTGATCCTCACAGTCTATGAAATGTGGTAAGAGGAGTAGGGATATAGCTCAGTGGTAGAGTGTTTGTCTAGAAGGCTTGAAGGATTTGAGCCCTAGAATCTTTTTTGTTTGGTTGGTTTTTTTGTTTTGTTTTTTTAGGGAAGGGTCTACAGGGTGTTCAGGGTCTCACTACTAGATCGGACTTGTAACGATCTGCCTGTTTACAGCCTCCCAAGGGCTGGGATTACAGGTGAGTACCATCACGCCCAGTCTCAATCTCCACCTCAGCACACCCTGGGGGTGGGGCCAGCACGGCAGGGATCAAAGCCCCGACCCATGCGCCTGTGAGCAGGCACTTCAATCCACTGAGCTATGTGGCCAGTCCTTAGAATCATGAATATATGAAGGGAGGGAGGGAGGGAACGTGTTAAGTATTAAATATACTGTTTTATGTCACTAAGCCTGTGGCAATCTATTACAGCAGGAATAGAAGACTAATATAGGGGGACCTTACAAATTAATGATTTATTGAACTTTTCAGGATGTGCCACTATTTTGAAAGATTTATGACTGATAAGCAAACAGCTGTAAGCAATATCAAGCTAGAATGACAATAACTTCTATGAGATACTTATTTTTCACTTACATGATACAATTTTAAAGCTCTGAATTCCATTATCTAAGCTATTGCTGTGTCTATTGCTATTATTTTCAAAATGTTCCCCAAATCCTTGCTTATATTGTCTAAGATGTGCCAGATACCTAACACTAAAATCATAATTGTCACTACAGTATAAGAAAAAGAGACTAATATTATCAATTTTGTATGTCACTATCTTCACAGGAGCTGCATCATTGTTGAAGAAAAAAATGACATAAAAATATCTAAAAAGATGTGCATTTTAGATGTATGTTCAAAATTATACAAAAGCCAAGAATTCAGATAAAATGAAGACAACTTAAAGTGTAATTTCAATCTAAGACCCTAGTCCCTTGAAAGTTTGCAAAATGGTGCCAGGATAAAGCAGAAAACATGAATTTTAATAGGATGAGAAATAAAAATTCTAACATGATTAAATGATCAGATTTTAATGCAACCAGATGAAAAAAGTTCTACAATTTTCTTTCCATTGGAAAGATAATGAAACATCTCAATGATTCATTGCCTCCGAAACCAGATGTCCCCACACAGTCCTGTGTCTCCAGACATCCAGATGGCTGTCCACAGAGTTGCCACTGTGTCCTAAAGCCACAAGTCTCCCCACGATGCTGGTTCTGGCTATGAGGTGAACTCAGAAGAAATCCTCCATCTAGGCCAGGTGCCGTGGTGTGTGCCTGTCGTCTCAGTTACCCAGGATGCTGAGGCAGGAGGATGCAGGAGGAAACCAGCCAGACTCTATCTCAAAACCAAATTTAAAAGGCAGGGGGAGGTCAGGGCTAGAGCACTCGCCTAGCATGGTTAGGCCATGGGTTCAGCCTCCACATTAGACAGAAAGAAAGAGCCAGGCGTGTGGCACATGCTTACAATCCCAGCACTCACTTTTTGAACCCAAGCGATGAATTTCCTCCACTAAGAGGTTAACTTCATGATCCACATTCATTATCACCTGAAAGACAAAAAGGAAATCTCCATGACTGCTACGTCTATATTTCATCTAGCACATACAAATCTAAAGGTTGTTTCTTTTTTCTTCATATAGCATTTGTCTACTACCAATTTCACGTTCCTCTTCCTGCAAACACCTTTGTGATGCGGAAGGCACTACAGTGCCCCCTATTCCATCTCTGCCACCCTAACCTTGCTCCATACATCTACTTGGGAGAAGGCAGCACTTATCTCTGACCCCTAATGATCTACAAGGGTCATCTTCACAGGGTCCTTGTAGGTGCCAAAAATCACAAAAGGTGTGTGGCACAGGATCCACACTTGAGGCAGAGGAAGACCTAGAAGCAACAACAGTGTGACAGATACTCTTGGAGGGGGGATCCAAGGCACTGTGGGAGCCACAGACAGCTTAGTGCAGGTGACATGGGAGGAGTGGGCCACAAATGGAAATGGAAACGGGTTTGTGTCTAGTTGTCCCCCCAAAGCCTCATGCAGTAATGGGACAGGGACTTCTAGAGTTTGTAATTAACTCATGATCCCCTGGGATTATGGGTGATCCAAGGCAGGGATTATGGGTCTTAGTACTGTTGGGGTTATGGGTGTGAGTACTACCCTGAGCCTGGGATGGATAGCCTGAATGTAATATATAAGAGAGACAGAGAGACAGACTCTCTCTGTTGCCATTGTTCTTGATACTCCTCCATTTGTTCTCTTGCTGTTTGCCACCACCATGGAAGGTTGCCATCTGCCATGTGCTGCTCTGCCTTCGGACCAGCCAAGTATGGACTGAAACCTCCAGTAACTGTGAGCTAAATAAACCTTTCCTTCCTTCATTTTCAGTGTTGGGTATCTGTCCCAGCAACGAGAGAAGAGTAACTGAGACACTGGTGTTCCATGCATGGAAAGTGCATATTCAAAATTATGGTAGCTAAAGAGAAAAAACCTAACACCCGTGAGGCAGTTCTGAATGAGGACCTCAAAATAAAGTGACATACTCCCTGCCCTTTACAAGCCTGCAGCCCAGTAGTGGAGGAGGGTAGATTCAAGAGCAATTTTATTACCCTCACATTACACAGTGATCATTTCAGTCACAGTGAAGAACAGCAGTGAAGGGCAGGAAGGAGCTCAGGATACGAGAGAAGCTAAGGTTTACCTTGCTTACTAGATCTGCCACCAGCTGGGTTCCATGTACAGACGAAGCATCCACTCTACCCCTCAGACTCTAGACTGCAGCTAAAAAAGGACATCTTTGCATTCCTCAAATCCCCTCTCACTTTCAATCTTCACCCATGTTTCTTCGGCCCAGACTGGCTATTCCTCATTCTCAAAGGTAACTCATACATCTAGAACCTCCTCCAGGAAGCCTCCTTGAAGCCTCGCACTCAAAGAGCTCCCCACTATAGCTCCCTCAATGCTGTGAGCACCTCCTCAATGTACCCTGTTGGGATAACCCATGCTAAAAAGTAAGCTCCCCTCTGCAGGGAGCTCCATGCAATGACACTTGGCACCAAGAGCAGATGTTAAGCAAATCCTGGTTCACAGGCTGGCAAGCAAACGGATGTGAAGATGGAGTTACACGTGCAGGGGCATCAGAAGAGTGCGTGCAACTGGACAGAACGTGTATCAGTGCAACCTGTTTCTCTTTCTCTTTAAGACACAATCTTGCTAACCTGTTTGCAGTCCTCCTGTACCAGCCTCCAGTGTACCTGGGATTGTAGACATGTACCATCACACCAGGCAGTCTGTTTTCAAATCATAAATTTTCTAAATTAAATAAAGGACTGAAAAAGCAGAGCCATAAATATGGTTTCCTTTAAGGTAATAATGTGGAAGAAACAACTTTGCCCAGATGGATTATAACCAATTCCTGGTAGCTTTTAAAAACAAGAGTGACATCTATGACTGTTACACCACCTGTTTCAATGATACTGATTGGGACACCAGACTTTCCCTCCACTAATAGTTAAAAGTGCTGCTACCATCTGCTAAGTTATCTGTGTTATAGTATAGTTTAAAGAATCTATATTGCGGTAAAATGTGAAATCTTCAATTAAATACATCTACATAAAACACCAAAAATCATAGTGTTCAAGTACTAGGGATTTTATGCTAATAAAATCAAACCTATAACATATGTAATTCAAGATGTAGTTTCCAAAAGAGATATTAAAACCTAAAATATATCCAGAGAACACAACCCCTCCGATGAAGGCCTGAACACACGCCTTGAGAATACGTAATGGTAGCGAACTGTCTGTTCACACTGTTCTGGTGTTTTTGCCCGCCCAGCACCCACTGTCTGCTCTGGCAGGACCCATCCAATTTTCACTTGGATAGAGCAATGTCCTTCCTTATTCTAAACCCATACACACTGGGTAGGCCCTCCCATTAGCTGCAGTCGTAGGTCAGGGCCAGAATGACTGGCTTGAGGCATTAGGTAGAGGATCCCACCTAGAAGAAACAAATTGAGCCCCAATATTTTGCTAGAACTTCTTGTAAAAACAACACTCTTCTTCCACTGGCTTCTAAGATGTAAGCTTACAGCTCTGATGTAAATGGCCAGGATGTGCGCAAAGCCCGCCAGGAGTAAAGCAAACAATGAAAACCTGGCATTCTAATGATGACTGAGTCTGTACAGAGACACAGGACATTCCAGCTAGATGAACCAATGATATCTTTATTGAGGTTTTTTTTTTCTTGGTGTAGATTTATTTACATTTCTATTACTTGTGTGCTAAAGGCTCTTGAGCCATAAATTTAGCTTAGAGATTTGTTGCTATTTTTTTAAAAAACTAGGGTTCTTTTTAGATACTTACGTGAATAGTCTTAGTTGTGATACACTATTGGGCAGGATGGATAGATGTGATATGAAAGCAGATCTGGAGCGGCACATGACAGCCCAGGCCTCTTGTCCCAGCCCTTTGGCTGAGGCATAAGGACTGTAAGCACACAGCTACCTCAAGCAATTTAGTGAGAACCTATCTTTAAAAAAGATATGAGGGGCAGAGAGATAGCACAACACCTCCTGGCAAGCATAAGGACCTAGGTTCTATCTCAGGTACTACATGTTGTGCTGGCCCTATGCCAAGCCAGCCACTGAAACTGGGTGTGGTGGTGGCACCCCTGTAATCCCAGTCCTGGTCAAACTGAGACAGGAGGATCAATATGAGTCCGAGCTGTGTAGTGAGACCCTGTACCAAATATATAAATAAATTAACTTTAATTTAAAAAAAAAAAAAGGTATAAGGGTACAGCATTGAAGATGTAGCCCAGCAGTCTCTAAGTTCAATCTTCAGTACAAAAAAAAAAAAAAAAAAAAAAAAAAAAAAAAAAAAGAAAGAAAGAAAAGATAGGATGTGAGAATAAAGAAATTTCCTAAAAACCAAAACTGCTTAACAATGACTATAGTGTGACCTGCAGAAGCTCTAATGCAGATTGAGTTAAGGACTGGAGTGATAATGAAGAAATTAGCCTGTACTGGACAGGAGGGAAAAATTAAGGACCTCTCTAATTCTCAGATTTTGATTTCCCCACCCAGAAAATTACCCTTTTACCATTCCCCAGCTCCTTCTACCCACCCCCAGCCACACACTGGAGACCCCAGTCCAAGAGCAAATCAGTATACAGACCTCCTTTATATAACGATGCATATGTTGATCCAGTTTTAGGAAGGGGAGACCACCAGTACTTCTTTCATAATTGATTCTTTATCTAGGTTCGGGGGGCCTGCCCCTTAGCTCAGTTCAACAAAGCAGCCAGGCTCAGGATGCTGTGGTTAGATCCCTACAACTCAAGCCAGCCAAATCTGCCCTGAAGGCATTCGGAGAAAAAAAAATCCTTTATCTAGGTTGTTTTGTGTAGTTCTAACCACCTTGCAAAGGACTTATTATATATCCTGTTTTATGGATAATGAATTGGACTCAGTAAGGTTAACGCCCCAAATTAAATGCTGTTTCTAACTGGTCATGCTAGCTCTTCCTCTCCTCTCTTGCACTTAGTATAATAGAGTGCTTGTATGCAATAGCCCATGCTGAGTACAAAGCGAGAAAGGCTCCCTACCCAGTGACCCCCAAGTAGGAAAATAACGGGCTCAGATAATACCTCTAGCATGCATAATTTGACATGTTTATTCATTTATTTCATTGTGGCTGGGGGCACAAAGAAAAAAAATGTTCATTGTTACACGATCCTAGGAAGGCCCACAGCATTCCGCAGACTTGAGGGAGCAAAGATGAACAATGAGAGGCGCGGAGCACAGCGAGCCTGAAGGGCTAAAGCGCTGTCAGTGACAGAGAAGCTGGCCAAGAAGAAAGGAAGAGCTGCTAAAAGGAAGGTGACAGCAGATGGTAGTCGGGCCTCATGTCACAGAATTTATTAGGTTTTGTGCGTGGGACTCACAAAGAAAGCAGAACGCAGGAGGGCTACAGCATATGCCAAAGGTCCCCATCAATATGCACTTAGGACCGTAAGGGCACTCTTATTATCGTTATTTTTTTAAAGTTTGGAGGCAAAGCACTAAGATCTTCTACCCACCCAAGTGGGAATCAAAAGCCAACTTTACATCCGGGGCAGGAAACCCTCCCAGACCCCCGCCCCCCCCCCGCCCCTCCGCGCAAGCACGAACAGCTGGCACAGGTCAAAAGATGACTGGGTTCCTTCCTCCCTCTTCAGGGCACGCACATTCCATATTTGGTAATCGCTCTTGCAAGTTTGGGCTCCTGCCAAGTGAGGGTCCCCAAGCCTCTTCCCTACAGGCCCATCACACGATTGATCGTCACTGGTGCCACTACAAAGTTGAGGAGCGTTCGGCTCACCCTGTTCTGGGGCAGCACCGCGCGCTCGCGAGCCGTGATACATCCCGGAAGCCTTTGTCTCGGGGGACTCCGCGGCAGTGCACCCGCCCGCGCGCCCCACGACCCGGAGCCCCCAGGGAGCCGGCGCCGGGAGAGCAGGGCGAGAGGCGACTTTGTCCAGGTTCGGGGGCCGCCCGCGTCGGCTCAC